GAGGCCCACTGGGGTTCAAGGAGACGGAAGCAGAGATAGAAAAGACAACTCTAAACCAGCTCCACAGGCAGCCCCGTCCAGGAAACAGGCAAGGCAAGTTAATGACAGATAGTGGGTGTAATAAAAAGTAATATCCAATCATTTTAATGTATAATATTTTTCAGTAGATTACAAGAATTCTTTTTTCACTCTTTTAACTCTTCGCTTCAATCTGATAAATATAGCACAGAAAAGAAGTACTTCTCGTTTCTATCATGGAGCTACCAGGATCTGGCAAAGCCTGAGCTCCGTCTGACCTATAGGTCTGTTGTGGAGAGTGGGATCTCTTCTGCCATCATCTGCTGGGATAACAGCATCAGAGCAAATGACCTATAAAAGCTAAACAAGCTGATAGAGAAGGCCGACTTTGTCTAGGAAATAATCTAGAATAATCACAGAAGAATCCGTCATGAATGAAGATTATTGGCAGCAGTGAGCATCCTCTTCAGAAGATTTTTAAACAACAACAAAGTGTCTTCAGTCAGAGGCTTCTGCAGATCCACTGCAAGACAGGCTGCTACAGGATATCCTTTCTGCCTACAGCATCAACACAAGAAATGTGTTACTGCAACATTTCAGCTCCTTTTGGGAATATTTCTGAAATTAATTCAATGTAAAATTTTTTTAGTAATAGTCATTTATTATTATTGCACAACTACAGTATGGAGGACCAGCTGTACAATATTTAAAAATAAATACAGAAATAAATACATGCTCAATAAATAAGTAAGCATACAATTAATTCCCCCCCAAAAAAATACAATAAGCAAATAAATGTAGGTAGAAATTAAATTATACAGGGAGACATAAATGTATACATCTCTTTTAATTAGCTTCTGTCAAAAAATATGTTGGACAGTTTCTAATTTCCCACAAATACATCACCCTGTATTATGCTTATTCATTATTTTAAGAGTACTATTCAATCCTGTATGTCCGAATCTTACTCTAGATATAATATCTTCTTCTTTTTTAATTCTATTACATTTTCTTAATTCTCCAACCTTTTTTTGAATACTATAATAAAATCTAGCATTCCCTCCTTTATCCCACTGTTCTTGCCATTTCTTCTTGAAATACATTTTTATAATATTCTTTAACTCATTTTTACTAATGTTAATGTTTAAATCAACATCCTTTTTAACAGCACTCTTAGCAAAACTGTCAGCTAACTCATTACCGATAACACCAATGTGAGCAGGAATCCAGACTAATTTAACAACAGAACCACCATTTTTAATCCTAAAAATTGAGTGAAGAATATCCAATATAATATCTTGACTTGACTCTGAATTAAACTCTAGAATACTTATTAATGCACTACTTGAATCTGAACAAATTAAAACCTCCCATTAGTCCTGTCTTTGTTCAGTCTTCCATACATACCCCCCCTGTGTAGCTCCTCAGTGCTGGTTCCTCATCTTTCCCCGGCTCCTAGTGCATGTCCTCCCTGATGTCTCCATGGTTGTGGTCTGTCTTGCATTGTTAAGTTATATTTACCTGTGAACACTCCATTAAAACTAAAAGAACTCATCTGCCTCCCTGCCTCTGCATTTGGGTCCCCAAAACCTCACCCAAACCCTGACAGCTTCTTCATTTATTCGCCTTTACAACCTTACTTACCTTATTTATTTATTGTCCGTTTTAATCTTCAACTTTATTTAGTAATTACTTGTTTTTTTAAAGTATTTATTTATGTGCATGATATAATATTTTGGTCTGTTTTATTCTTCCTTTGTATTGTTTTACCCTATTTATTTCATTTCTGTATGCATTTCTTTCTCATTATGCAAATGAGGAAGGGCTGTTTCTTAGAGGGTCATCTACTGCCCATTGGCTGGTGAGCATTTTACTGCATGCTTATTTATTTATTGAGCATTTATGTATTTATTTTTAAATATGGTACAGCTGATTCTCCATACTACAGAGGTTCCTTAGTTGTTCTTTTGTCTTTATTCATTTATTTCATTAATTTATTTCATCAATATTGGGCTTTTTCCCCCGGATTCTGGAGGGAGGAGGGATGGGGGCGTGTCCCCGCAGCTCCAGCAGCCTCCAGTTTCTCCGTCTGTCCCGCACATCAGAGCTTCCTGTCAGGACGCACGCACGCTGTTCTCCTCCGGGGAGAGGAACGGGGACCCGGCAGGTTGCGGGACCGAGTCAGGATGTGATTTTGGAGAAAAGCTGCAGTTTTTCTCAATGATTGGACCTTTAAGAAAGACTCATCGAAGGAAAATCCATAGAAAAACCAAAAAGTTTAGTTTCACTGAAAGGAGGGAAACTTTAGTTCGGAGATGGAGCCAGAGGAGGGGAAGATCTCGGTGTGGGTCTGCCGAGAAGAGAAGCTGGTCTCCGGACTGACGAAGCGCACCACCTGCGCTGATGTGGTGCGGGTTCTGCTGGACGACCAGAACCTGCAGCAGGGCGCAGCAGCCGCGATGCTGTCCGGATCCCCGCAGTCCTACTGCGTGGTGGAGAAGTGGAGAGGCTTCGAGAGGATGTTACCCAACAAGACCAAGATCCTGCGGCTGTGGAGCGCCTGGGGGGACGAGCAGGAGAACGTCCGCTTCGTCCTGGTGAAGAGCGAAGCTTCGCTGCCCAACAACGGACCCCGCAGCGCCGAGGCGAAGGTGGTCCAGAGCCGGGAGAGCGGCGCCCCGGCCGGGCTGCTCAGGGGCCCCGCCAGGAGCTGCTGGGTGGCCGCGGCCGCTGCGGCCAACATGTCCCAGGAGAGGCAGAGGAGGATCGTCCGGAAGGCCTTCAGGAAGCTGGATAAAATGAACAGAAAGAAGGAGCAGACGTTGCCTAAGGGGAAGAACTCAGTGGAGAAGATGGAGACGCTGGTCCACCTGGTGATCTCACAGGATCACACCATCCGGCAGCAGGTCCACAGAATCCAGGAGCTGGACCGAGAGATCGAGCGATACGAGGCCAAGGTGCACTTTGACCGCATCAAGAGACACGGAGCGAACTATGTGCAGGACACATACCTGACGGACTCCTCCGCCGAGACCTCCGCTCCCGCCGCGGACGGGAAGCGCAAAGCGGTGCGCCAGGACGCGCGCTGCGCCGCGGAGGCGCTGGCGCAGTTCGAGGAGTACGCGCGCCGCTGCGAGGAGGTGCTGCGGCTGCAGGAGGAGGTGACGGAGCGGGAGGCGCTGCTGGAGAGCATCACCGGGGAGATCCAGGAGGAGCTGAACCGGCGATGGATGAGGCGGCGGCGGGAAAACGGCGCGGAGGCTGCGGCGCAGGACACCGACAGCACAGCGGAGGAGATGAGCCTCTGTGAGGCGCCAGCTGTGGAGCCAGATGTGGAGAGCCTGTCGGAGAACGAGCTCCTGCTGGAGGAGGAGAGAATAAAAACCCAACTAGACACCAGTCTGTACATAGGCTTGAGACTAAAGACGGACCTGGACGCGATCAGGGGGGATTTGGACCTGAGTCTGGCACTCTGGGAAACCAAAGAGAGCGAACTGCTGGACCTACTTGCCAAAGTTGAAAGCATGGAGCTGGAGCAGGCGGAGAGCCAGCTGACGGATGATGGGAAGGAAGAGCCGGCTGCTGGCAGTGGGGAAACTGACCCGGGTTTAGGAGAACACAGCATAGGCTGGGTGGAGCAGGCCAGAGGTTTGTCCAAAGCCTGCAGCATCAACGATGAGGACTCGGACACAGGTCTGAGCTCCATGCACAGCCAGGACTCTGACAACCCTCCTGTGTGTGAATCACTGGTGTAGACCTGCTTTAGTCTGAGCTTCTAAGGCTTTTATGCAACTTCATGCCACAAACTCAGGGGCAGAGAAAAAAAAAATCAATGTTTGCTTCCTGAAATCCAAAATTGCACCTCTGTGACACAGCAATTCTGCAGCAATAATCTCTCTATAGTCCCAGCAGACAGAGCAAGCTTAGGAAAGCATGTGTATTAGAGGCTGACCTCTGACCTCCAACAGGGGAGTCAAAGGAGCATCATTTATTAGAAGAAGCAGCCTGGACACGTGTAATAACAAAACACAGAGGTGCTGAGATAATCCTGGTCAGCTTGTGTTTGTTGGCTGGTTTAAGGAGCAAAAGCAGCAGGATAAGTGTTCTGGTTGGATCTGTAATGGTGACGAATATCAGCTTCTATCCGAGGGTCAGAATCACTTCAACAGTCAGAATGTTGGAAAACAAACAACACAAATTCAAAAATCATTATGAAGAATCATCACATATTGTTTTTTATCCTGAAGGTTTAACTGTTTAAAAAAAAACTTTCTTGTTAGATTAAATTAGAAAAATAAACTGCTGTTAACATTTCTGTTTAAGTAAAACTGACGGATGGTTTGAAGTCTTTTTTATTTCCTTTGACACAGATCGGCCCGTTTGAGATTCTGTTTGCATCTCATTTAAAACAAAAAAGCAAAGTTAATTCAGCTGCTGTCAGAATGAATCATTTTCATTGCATCCGTGATCCTGCTTTGACTGTAAAGCATTTAGTTTAAAAAATAAAAATAAATTCTGCCTCCCTGTTATCATAGAGAAAGACTGAAAACATGAGAAAGTTATTTAATTAGTCAGGAAATCTCCTTTCTGTGGCCTAAAACTGTTGTCAAATCAGTTTTACAGGATTTAACTTTCAGTTCTTTACTTGACTGCTTGTTTTAAAATCGATCTAACCATCCCTGATGTGTGCAGACAATGATTCTGGTCCAATTCTGGGAGTCGATGTTTCTTTTCCTGCATTTATATGATCAAAATGACAACAAATGTTACACAGTTCTCTATTTAAACGAAAATAAGCATTAATAAATCAGGCAAATAAACAAAAGCTTTTTCTTTTCTAACATTGAAAGAGCAAAGAGCCTTTTTTTTCATCCAGCTGACCGGTAACCTGCAGCAGCAGGTAGTTAAAGTGAGGATGACACTAATTTATGCTGCCAAAGCTGCAGTCTTTCTGTCACTTTCTATAAACCAGATTCAGTGTTTTCTAAAACATGTTTTAAAATATTAATATTGTTTGATACCAGCTCATGACTGATCATAAACCTTTTTTTATGTCTTGCCCCTCTTACTGTAAAAGTTGAAATATGTCATAACAGAATCTCAATGAACCCTGACAGCTGCATTAATTTCTATAACATTTAATCATGTCTGCTTTTATTTAACCTTAATGATAAAGTTTTGCTGTTTTAATTTTGCCCCAAAGGTCAAATAAAAAATGGGTGATATGGATTTAACCTTCTAACACAATATTATATATATATATATTTAATTACGTTCTAAGGGATGATTAACAGTGTTAGAAAATTCAACACCATAACTTTAATTTAAAACCTATAAATTAAATACAAAGAGCATCACAGATGTAAATATTGCTGTAGAAATAAAACTTATTTTCTTATTTCCTGGCAAATACATCAACAAATCCAACAATTTTCTCTACTCATTAAATGCATGCGAAGCTCAATTAAAGCGTCAATCAGTTTGTACCTTAATAAACATCATTGGAGAACAGGAAGGTTAGAAATGATGATCTGATGCTGAAATGTGGAGCATCTTGTTACTTTTCCATAGGATTCTAACTTTTTTAATTTGTTCCTCCAACATGTCGGGGATTTTTTTTTTTTTATTGGTCAGTATTAACAGGACAGAGAAAAAAGGAACCAGGACAGATAAAAGCCTGATTAGAGCATTTATCCATGATCGACAGAAAAAAATGGAAAATGCAAAAGTTATAGAGAAGCAACAGTCTTAAAGGTACAGAGTCACATTATATGTCATAACCGAAAAGACAAAAATCCAGCTGATTATGATAGAATACGGCTATTATTTCTGAGAATCCTTCCTGATAGTATTTAGATCAGGAGTCTTCAAAGTTTTCCAGGCCAGGGACCCCAAAACTGATGGCGAGATGGAGCGGGAAACCCAAAATTATATATATTGTATGAAATAGTGTTCTATCAACTGGTCCTATAGTCACTCTATTACAGATGGAGTAATGTAACGAAAGTAATTTCACCCTGGGATTATTAAAGTATTCCTGATTCTGATTCCTGGTTGATGGGACAGGTGTTGTGAATGAAACGGTGCCCAGCTTGAAAGAGCTCCTGTGTGTCGCTGAATGTGAGCATTGATGACTGAAAGACATCTTCTGCCTCCATTTATCTGTTTACTACAGTCTGAATTCATGTTAATGTGGATTTAAAGACATTTCAATTAGTGGAAAAAAATTTGCAGGGGGAATATAAAAAAAAGTAATCAACCAAGACTTTCACAACTCCGTGGACCCCCTATTGAAGACCTCCGATTAAGATCGTCTTTTTTGAGCCTAAATGAAGCTCCAGCACCAGGTGCGATGAGCTGACATAAACAGACGTGGCGCCATCTAAAGGTAGCACAGCTAATCTAGCAGAAAGCCAGTTGGTGGCCATCCATGCAGCTACTGAATAAATCCCTCCCAGCTGATTGTGCTATAATAAAAACGAACAGATCAGATGATGGTTAACCTCTTAGAATCAAACATCTTGCACCTTTTCACACTTGATCTGGACTTTTGTTTTTCCACACCAATGCTGGGAGTTCCACACTCGCTCACCTCCATTGCTTCAGCATTTGACATAATCCTGATCCCACGTCGTTATGGTAAACATGCACAGAAAGGCTTTATTTACAGACAAAAGTTACTACAGCAGATGCCGTAATCATTAAACCATTGTATGCAAGCAGGGAGAGTTACTGGCATATACATGTAAAACATGTCAAATAATGTGATGATGTACCTTTAACATAAATTACATCCATTCTTAATTACCGTTACTATCATCAATTATGACATTTAAAAATGTTACCCTCATTGTTTTATTTGTCCGTCTCTAAGTTGGTTTCTTACAAGGCAAAAATTGATTTCAAAATGAAATCATAAAATTTTATGATTTCCACTTTATGGGTTTGAGTTTAGTCCAGCCTTTTTGCTGTAAAAAGTTGCAATGAAAAACCTTCAATAAACAAATCTGGAGCCATTGAAGAGGGAATCCCACACTTAACCCCTAAAGCAGAGGATCCAACATCCCCATCAATTCTGTTAGATAAAACCTCCAATCAGAGCCTAACCTTTTAAATCTGACAGTCACAGCTTGTTGGATAAACATCAGACCCCTCCGATGACATCATCAGGCTGATCTAATGGAGAGAGAAAACGGATCTGTTTTGTTCCAGGACTGGTATTAGTTTTCCCAATAGGGAAGTTGAACACTGTGAGTGAAATAGGTGCATAGCTCCTTTAAATCAGTTTGGATTATTGTTGTAACGCCAGTTTGGCTGCATTAAAAGACTTTGTTTCCATGTAAAGCTTCTTACTTAACCATAATCAATGTGGCGCAAGAAGCAAAGCCTGTTTTATATTAAGGCTCAAAGAATCATGGAAATCAGCAGGTCTCCACTCTAAGTACCCACTGTGTCATAAACGTATTGCATCCTTTTTTGCATTAGTTTAGTGCAGATAAATGCGATTCATGCTGTTTTTTACAGAAGCAAGGTTCTATTGCAGTTTTTTTGGGGCAGACCCATTTAGTAATCCTGCAGCCGCTGCAGGTCTGAACGCCGTGACATTAAGGCGAACTATTTCAAGCTTCGGTTCGCCTTTTTTTCCTTTACCCTGAAAATAGTTGCTGCAGAGCAGAATTCGCTGTGCTTTCTGGCCGAGCTGGCTCCTCTGAGACCTGCACAAACAACAAGCATCTTAGCAGAAGTGATTCATCACTTTAAGGTCTTCTTTTAGTAAAAAGTCATGAATAAAAAACTATTCTACTCTGTATGTCGGGATGTTCGTGTTGTCAAGCTTACATGTCTGACTGTCCAACTGTAAATGTGAGCAATGTTAACTTTCTGACACCAAGGTAGAAAAAAAAGAATATGATCCTGTTCCTGTAGAGTTACCAAAATGATCTGTGTGTAGCTAATTTATGTGACTTTATCAGGGAGTCTTCACACTATTCTCTAGATATGTTCAGTATCTCTAAAGAAAAAAGCAAACACCACTGTGGAAAAAAGTATATGACTATTCAGCCGTTATAGAGTTGAAATAAACAGAAACATCTGGGTTTGTGTCTCGTTTTATTCGCCGCACCGATCCAAACACTTTGCACAACAATTCCACCCATTTCCAGGATGAACTTTCTAACATTTTCACACAAATATTATTTCTAAAACTCTAATTTGCAAAAATGCAAAAGGGAAACTGGAATCAGCATTGCATTTAGGAAGAAAGATACGAAGGAAGAGGAAGGACACGGAAAAGGATGTGGAAGGGCAAGGAGACGGGGGAAAGTAAAGGACATGAGGAAGGAAAGTAGAGGAAGACAAGAAAGATGAAGCAAATAAAGATCGATACAAGGAGAGAGAAAAGGACATGTATGTGAGGGAAGGAAAGAGGAAAAGAATGACACAAGGGAATATGCAAGGACAAAAATGAAGGATATAAGCTTTAGCTAATGCAAAGGAGAGAAAAGTCTGAGAATAGAAATATTTTTATTTTTAGCTGTCTTTATATTTTGCCAGACCAACAGGTCTGTGGGTGAGGAAGCAGCTCGCTGCTCACTGATCATCTCCTCATTGTGTGGTTTGCCTTTAAACCTTTTTCAGAGAAAGGATCATTTGCATGCCTCATGGCTGCAGGGCTTGACGTGTACAGGTGCGTGTTTCTGCCGTGTTTGTGTAATACATGCTCTCTCTCTTGCGCTCTTGCCTGTCCTGCATTCCTGTGTTCGATCGCTGCTTCCTGGTCACTCTTCTGAGAACTCCTGAATTAATTATAGACAGTTGAAACGGAGACGTGAATATACAGAACCAGCCTGTACTGTTCAGGTTACAGTTTAGTAACCCATCCACTTCAAACGCTCCTCCAGGGTCTCTTCCTCCACTTTAAAGGTATCCGTTGATACTTACCTCTAGTTATCCAACTTGATGCTTTGGTCTTAGGTCAGACAGGTCCAAAGTTGGTCTTCTAGGGCTGCTGGCCTACAGGTTTTCAATGTTTGAGCTTCAGCACAGCAGATTCAGGTGATTGCAGTTAAATAGTAGCCTGTTAGTCAGGTATCAGTGAAAATCAGCTGTGCTGAAGAAGGGAAACCTCTAAAACCTGCAGGGCAGCGGCCTTCAGGAACTGACTCTGGACATGCCTGGTCTTAGGTGTTCTACATCGAGAGGCA